GTGGCACCTTAGAGACTAACAAATTTATTAGAGCATAAGCTTTCGTGGGCTACAGCCCACTTCTTCGGATGCATATAGAATGGAACATAGCTGAATGAATTGCTTTTGGAATTAGCTATCTACATATACACATTTGCTTCTGGGCTGAGACTGTGCATACGAAATTTTGGCTGGCAGGGTAATTTGGGAGAAAATAAGTCATTTTAGAAGGAAACTGCCACCTCCACTAGAACTACAACACTGCTAGCCTGAGTCTCTAATGTACGCCAAGGCTGCTTAAGGACAACCTTTTCTCTCCCCCTCTGCATTTCCTGCTTGTTATGTGTTTCAGACGCTCCGTGGTGTTGGGTAATGTGTATAGTTTTGCTTGAGCAGTGGATACAGACCACACCATATGGATCTCAGATGACACGATAATAATTCCAAATGCAGCTTAGCAGCCTGAAATAAAATTGGTCACTGAGCTCAATTACCATTTCATGCATATGCAATGAGGAGACATGTTCTGCGCGGCACAAAGGAAACTGTAGATTGAATGCCATCCACCCACATGTTAATTGCATCACTTAACACTGTATAGGCAGCCCTGATCCTTTCCCTTCTTGACTCCTCCTCTTCCCAAATATCCTGCCTCAGCTACACGAGTAAAGCAGGCATGGGCAGCCTTCTGGGAGCCGGCCTCCGCTAGCATCGACAACGTTGACACAAGAAAAGAACAACGAATGGCAGATGAAATGGAGCAGAGTGGCATAAAAGCAGCTCCCAGTGATGGGATTGATTGAGTGTAGATGGCAGGGTGATGGGGAAGTGCTGAATGGCCAAATCAGATCTGAGTCCACAGGACTCCCAAATAAAGAATGTCACATCGCCCCATCTGGGCTTTGGATAACTATGTGTTGTCACAGCTGGAGTTTTGGTGGCCTTCAGGCAGCCAGTCTTTTCAGTGGCTGGTAGTTCTCTTTAATAGTCTCTGGCTGTTTCTTTTGCACGTGGTGTCATATTGGAGCATGTGTATGTGTGGTACACCAAATATTACCCAGATGGCTGGATTGATACTTAGCTCTTAGAAGATGTTCCACTTCTTTAGCACCTTTCATCAAGTGATCCAAAAACATATTTCACACATCAGTTAATCCTCACAATAGCCTCTGCAATATTGTCATAGGAATGTTTTGCAATAACCATTTTCCAGGTGGGGAAACTGAGGCGCAGAGAAGTCTTGCTCAAAGTCACAGAGTGACCCAGTGGCAGACAAGGAATCTGGGAATCCTGGCAGGAGAGACCCCTTAAGTAAATTGTATATAACCAGCATTCAGAGCGCAGACTTATGCTGTGTCAGGTAGCACCTGAATTTAAGATGGCTACAATACCACATTGTACTGCTAGAGCTTGAAATCTAGGCGATCTAGATGATTTCATGAGCTTTCCATCATGCAATATGGCAAAAATCCCACAGGCAGAATCTGCAACAAAAATATTTGCAAGCAATTTTTCAAATAAAATCCACACCTTTGCTTTGCTAGTACTTGTGAGGCTTGCCAGGAACAGTTGTGCATGGGGAAAGGGAAAGTTTTATGAATAATTGCGTGACTAGATCTTTACATGAGTATTCACATCATTCACTAGCACCTTGAAAGTTCCTTGCGGGACTGGGAATCAGCCACTGAGGAAGCACAAGGTCATGTGACTTAGATGACCAAACGCACAGAGCAAATAGGACGTTATGAATAGCAATAGTCACAGAGTGCAGTGGGTCAGGTGCCACCCGCAGGCTAAAATGTGTTTGCATAAATCATGCCTTGGCTAATTTTGAATAACAAACACATTCATAAATATCAACGTCTACCCATAGAGCATTCACCAAGGAACAAAGGGGACAAACTCAGCCAGTAAATTTTTCCCTGCAAACTGTTCACCCAGTTTTGCTCACAATATCCGCTGCAATTAGATGCAAAGCTGGAATTCCCAGGAAGGCTCCGCACTCACAATCTGAATTCTTCCCATTCCATCAGAGTGTGTTTAGGGCATAAATGAGTTTCAGGCATCCCTGTCTGTCATGATGTTTGCTGGAATGGCAAATGAAATGGTTATGTTTCCATAAGTATTTTACAAAGATCCATTTTCGGCTGTAGCTCAACCCCCATCTTGGAGGGTCAGTGGACTGCTTTTGACATGGCCCCTACCCTTTGATGCATCTGTCTCGGGTAATCCTCCCAAGTTAAAACTCCACTGGCGCTGGCATAGCATTGCACTGCGTCCAGGTACAGACCCCAGGGAAGGGCTCACAAAAGGAGGCCAGATTTTCAGAAAAGCTCAACATTTTTCACGCTGCGCTCGTTTAAAAATCTGTCAGTGTCACAACGGGAGCTGCGGGGCACTTCTGAAAATCTGGCCCTGAACTCTTCGGAAAACCTTGCCACCCATGCAGCTTGAGTCCAGGCATGAATGCTGAACCCTTGCTAAACATGATCTGGATCGGCAGCCTCCTCCACCCATCTCTCACTGAGACCAGGTTCCCAGGAGCCAGCACGCACGATGAATCTACCATCCCTCGGCATTGCTCTTCTGCCATGATCTCATTCTCATGTGAGGGGCACATTCAACACCAATGACATTCATCACTGGTCAGTTGACAGCAGAAGGACAACATTTCAAAGCAGGGAAGATGAAGCAGAGTGTCTAGCACTCCGCTCCCCTCCCCATGTGGGGAGGACACATTTTTCAAGGCCGTGCTTCTATTTTAATAGCCAATTTTCGGATGCCGGTTCTAAACCAGTGGCCAGGGCAGCAGGGGGAGGACATGATGCAGTCATGAAAACTTGCACTGAGATAAATCAAGAGAAGGAGGGAGAGAGGTGGCAGAGTCAGACACTATTCATCATCGTCCAGGAGGGAGGAGAGACAGACACTGCCTGAGTGCATTAAGGATTTTACTGGAGTGGAGGAGATCAGGAAGGAACAGGACAGTAGTGGTCAAAGGCCATTGCAATCTCATGGCTAGTGTGAAATGAGTTTGGTGGTCTCAGCCCAGTTCCTAGCAGACATGAGTCCCCATCTCAGACAGGCATATTCCCAGCTGGTACTAGGCTTGACTGGGCCATGGGCTTTGGAGGTCTACAGGTATACTGATGGGGGAAATATGTCCCACCCTTGTTCCAGGAAGAGCCAGCATTTAGTCTCCAGGGCTAGCAAACCCTTTCACGTGCATTGTTTACTTCAGTGGAATGGGAATGTAGACTAGACCCAAAGCATCTCACAAGTGTGAACGGTCAGCCTGGCTCCTGCCGACTTGGCCTGAGGGGCGTTCTCTTTTGGCTCACCTGCTAGAATAGCTGCCTGTGAACCATGAGGTTTCTGGTTCCTATCCCACTGGAGGGACCATGTGGCTAGGATAACACACACCAGTGAATTGAAGCACTACACTGGTCAAGATGAAGTAACTCCCTCATTTCACTACTGTGAGGCAGCAATCCGGGTCATGCACTGACCCTGAATAAACTGCCTTTCTAGCAGGCTTTCCAGTTCCCAAGCACTCAAGAGGGTCCTCTGTGGGAAGCTGCTCAGTCACCCTGGCTGATAAAATTCAGGAGGACGGATAGTCTTGTCACTAAGGCACTGGCCTGGTACTCAGAGCAGAGCTGGGCACAGAACAGAAATTCCCTTTCTAAACATTTCATCCAGAGAACGTCAACTGGGGATGTGTCACCAATGTCGGAACTTTTTCCCCTTTTGTTTTCAAAATCAGAATTTCGGCAGAATCAACCTGATTATGTGACGCCTTTTGATTTTGACAGAACTGCATTTTCCGATGGAAAACTGTTCCATCAAAGCTTTTTCCAAGAGCTGGGCTCACTTCCTGATTCTGCCACAGACTATTCGTGTGACCCTCGGCCAGTCAGTTAATTGCTCCGTGCCTCAGTTTCCCAGCTGTAAAATGGGGATAATAATGTATCCCTGCTCCCACTCTTTGTCCGTCTTGTCCATTTAGAATGTAAGCACTCCATGGTAGGGGCTGTCTCTTACTAAGCGTATGTGTCAGAGGGCTTTCCCTTTCCCCTCTCCCCTGGTTCTGGTCACACAGACAGGACCAAAAGTCCAAAGTTCAGGCAATGCAATGTTTATTGGGGTTAGTTCCAAGGAAGCATATCCATAGCTCTACACGCCGGCAGAGTCTGTTTCCCAGTGTTCTGTTCCCAGCTCTGACGCCTCACAGTGTTTACCCCTCCTGCCCCACTTTCCAGCTCTGACACTGCAGAGCCTTGCCTGTGTCCCCATTTCCTATTCCCCATTCTCATTCCCTATTCCCCCCTCCTCCTTCTTAGCAGGCCCAAATATACCTGCAATGCATGCCTACAGTCCCACCCCTTTTGTACCTCATGGGAGGGGTAAGGAGTGAGGTTGTGCTACGGTCAGAGACAGGCATTTCTTTGGTCTTTTAATATTTTATACCTTCTCCCCAATCCTCCCTTGCCCGTCCTGACTGGTTGCTTGAGGTTGCCTTGAGATAGGGGTTGAGGCAATCTTACTGAGTAACACTTTAATCACTCTTATCTGTTCCCATTGTACTAACAAATCCATCTGACTAGGCAGCAACATACACAGTCTTTGTCCTTTGTTTACACATATTAGTATAAGATATAAGAGTAGCAAAAAGTCAAACCCAAAATTCTATCTCAGGCAGACAAATAAACCTATATACTAATAGTATGCACAATGCTTATACTACTATACACATATATTCTGTCTCCATGGCATCTCAACTGGTGCTGGTAGGTGCTAGGTGTAATAAATAACAGTAACATGGGCAACCCACCCATCTTCCCCTGCTCACTCCAGCTGGATGCCTTCTTCATCTTCTGTTTCCCAGGAGTTCTGGGTGTGGATCTGACTCAGTGGCCCCAAGACCCTGCACTCTGGGCTTTGGGAGCAAAGCGCTGTGTGTCTGTTCCAGGCTAGATAATTCCTCATAATAGGATATGCTCTCTTGTCTCATTTGGCAGGAATATACCATTGATATCTTCTTTGCTCAGACCTGGTATGACCGGCGCCTTCGCTTTAACAGTACCCTCAAAGCCCTCACTCTGAACACTAACATGGTGAGCCGCATCTGGATCCCAGACACCTTTTTCAGGAACTCTAAGCGGGCTGACTCACACTGGATAACCACACCCAACCAGCTGCTCAGGATCTGGAATGATGGCAAGGTGCTCTACACGCTCCGGTACGTCTCGGGCATCAGCCGCAAACGCAAAGCAACTAAATAACCCTTGCAACTTTGTGCTGCTGTGCTGGAGCACAGAGATGATGATGCAGTTGAGTCACAGTGCAAGAAGTTCCCAGGTGCTGTGCATATAGCAAGATGATGCACTGGTATCTCAGTGCTGGGTGTCACTGGGGGCTGTGCTGTGATCTAGCAGAGGGGATGCAGTGATACCTCAGTGCTGGGGGTTCCTGGTGCTAGTGGAGGTTACACAGCTAGACAGAGATATCAAAAAGTGTTACCATCCCAAATCAGGATGAAAATTCAAAATCATGGACATTTTTGTGAACCAAAAATCCGTGGGGAAAAAAATCAGGTTGACTCTTTTGAAATGTTTTATTTCAATTTTGACCATTTTTACCTGAATTAGCTTAAATTTCTAAATGAGCAGTCATTTCAAACTGGAATGTTTTGTTTCAAAAATGTCAAAATGAAACATTTCAACAATTTCTAAAAAAAAATCCAAAAAATTGTTGAGTAAAAAATGTGGTGAACCTGACCCTTTCCTATAAACCATTTCTGTTTTGACAACTCAGCATTTTTTGACAACTGTTTTGCCAGAAAATTCCGATGTGGGTTTATTACACAGCTGTGTCTGAAGTCAGAATAAGCTGCATTGAGGCTGAGTCTTTTGTCTCACTTCCAGGCTGACCATAGAGGCGGAATGTCTACTCCAGCTGCAGAATTTTCCAATGGACACACACTCCTGCCCGCTGGTTTTCTCCAGTTGTGAGTATCAGTGCCTTAGATACAGTTTAAGGAAGAAACTCAACAGGCCCAAACTCTTTACCAAGGAGAAAAGACTCTGTTAGGTGGGTGTTAATTCAGACCCCATGTTCCTGTAATGCTGGGCTTCTCCCAGACAGCACCAGCAACAGACCTCAACCATTATCTTGGGACATCCTCCTGCTCCTGGGACAAGATTCTGTGCTGCATTAAATTTCTGCTCAGTGCAATAGAAGGGGACTGGGGAAATGGGGATATTGGTTATGCTCCCTGATTATCTGTCCAGCCTTGGAGCAGGTTAGAGTAGCCTGGAGGTCATTTTAACTTACACCAGTTGGCAGTGGTCCCCATGGGATCATCTATCAATTGAAGGTAGCTAGAGCACACTGCACTCCAGCCAGGAGCAGTGGGGAGGATGATATAGGGGCCATCTGTGATGACCGAGTGGGGATTCCCCCAAGCCAAGGGTGATAAGATATAGCCCATGCTCTTTGGCCACCAGAGTGGCACAAGGGGACATAGCAGGGCAGAGATCCTGGAGCTCATTCTCCATGAGTCTCAGAGGCTGGGTCTACACACTTGGGGTTGCTGGGCTCATGCGACAGCATTAAAAATAACCATGTAGCTATTCTGGCTCAGGCTGGAGCTTGGGCTGTGACACCCATCCCCTCCCTGGGCTTCAGCTGGAGCAAGAACGTCTGCACAGCTATTTACAGCATTGTAGCGCAAGCCCGAGTCTCTTGTCTCAAGCTCTGAGGCTGGCCGCCACAGGGGGTTTTTTTTCCTGTGTAGATGTACCCTATGGGTATGTCTACATTCACTCTAAGCCTGGCTCTGTGGGACCCGGGCTAGTGGACTCAGTATTTCCAAGCCTGTGCCTGAGAATCCTCACTGCATTGTAAAACTGAGTTTATAATTGCTGGACCAGGCCTCACAGCTGTGCTAACATACTGCACTATGAAGAGCTTCTGACATAAGTCTGTGGTTTGAGCTGCATCCACACTTGGCTTGGACCCAAGTCACAGCGGGACTTGGGCTCTGACCCATCCCCCATCAGAGCCTGAACACCTGGGTCCTGTGTGTTTTCTAACCCGAGTCAGACTGATTTGTGTGTGGACAGGAGCACGGCTTGCACTCAAACCTGAGTCAGAGCCCAGGCTCGGCGTGCAGTGTAGACATACCCCAAGTTTGGAGCGAGCGGCACCGGTGGTGCCTGCTATCTACTGGGCTCCACCAGTAACTTAGCTTGGAGCCTGTCATCCCATTTTATGTCTTCAAAAGAGATTCTGATCAGCATCAGGAGACTGCAAAGCAGATGAGAGCTTCATAACCTCCAGCAGCTCCCTCCCCACCTCCCTGCCCCATCTCCCTGCCACTGACGAGATTCAGACCATGCGACTGTGAGCTGCTTATGAGGAAAACAAAATGCGGAGGAGATACGGTCCCCTCATCCCCTCCCACCTCTTGCCCCTCCCTCATTCTTTGCTAATTAACAGTACACGCCATGCATGCTCGACAATTAATTAGAAACACAGTTTAGTTATGCTGTCAGGCTCTCCCTGTCTCCCCTCCCCCAAGGAGCTATCATAAAGGCGTCAAGATCCCTGCTTCAAAACAAGTTTGACATTTCATTTTACAAATAAAACCAGGCCTGCGAGAAGCAACCACTGCTGCAAGGTGCGGCTGCTGGGGAACTGGAGATATGCTCAGGCTGGGAGGTGGGTGGAGAGGCAAGGAGAAGCATTAGAGCAGAGCTTTGGCCTGGTTGCAGTCATTGCTGTAGCTGCACCAGTACTAGCCCTAGTGTAACCAGGCAAAGCCGCTATTTGCACGGGGGTAAGCACCATCAGTGCTAATAGCAGTTTCGGCTGCCTATGCTGGGATTGCAGCAGTGCAGCAGTACCGGTCACTGGCCACTGATAGCTGAAATTGGGGCTCACCGAGTGTAGACATGGCCTTAGGGCAGTGGTTCCCAAACTAGGGGCGCCATTTGTCCAGGAAAAGCCCCTGGTAGGCCAAGCCGGTTTGTTTACCTGCCGCGTCCGCAGTTTCGGCCAATCGCAGCTCCCAGTGGCCATGGTTTGCTGTTCTCGGCCAATGGGAGATGCAGGAAGCAGCACGGGCCGAGGGACATGCTGGCCGCCACTTCCCGCAGGCCCCTTTGGGCTGGAGCAGCAAACCTTGGCCACTGGGAGCTGCAATTGGCTGAACCTGCGGACGCGGCAGGTAAACAAACCAGTCCACCCCGCCAGGGGCTTTCTCTGAACAAGCGGTGCCCCTAGTTTGGGAACCACTGCCTTAGGGCGTTTTCTTCACCATGTGGTGTGGCTCTGATGAAATTCTACCATTACCCATTTTCCAGCTGGCTGCAGACACCCTGGGAGTGGCTCTGCATGGACAACTAAGCTTTCCTTTAAAGCAACCTGATTTGATCAGGTGGGGCTTGAGCTTCCCCAATCCCACATGGGGAAAGCCCATACCATAGCACAGCATTACTTCTGGGTCATTTCCCAAGCTCCTCGGGGCGGGAGGCTGCAAATGTCATCAATGAGGAATGAGGTCACCCCTCTCCCCCGACTATCGGTGTTTTGAGTCACCAATAATAAAGGGACTGGCTGTAGGGCCGGGTGATCTCCTTTGGATACAGGCTGGAACCCAGGAGGCAGCCCTCTGGATAGACTTGTATCGGATGTAAGCAGAGGAACCTATCTCATGCTTTGGGATCAGATTAGCCTTTGGTTCCAGTTCAGCTCGAACTATAGCCTATAGTAAAACAGCAGCCTATAGGTCTTATGGTAAATACAACGCTTCTCCTGAACCGCTGCTCCGGCCTCTGAGGGGTGTCATCTGTCAGGGGCTCTCCAGGGACTGTTTGCTGAAAAGCAATGGAAGAGAGAGAGCATACAAGCCCCAGGGACTTGTGCAGGAAGAGCGCTGAACTCCAGTGTGGCATGGAGCCAAGAGAGAGAAGAGTTTTGACAGCAGTTCCTTAAGCCAGCCACTGGCCGTTAATTACAGCCCAACCTCTCTCTCTGATCCAGCTAACTGGCTGCTGATGCGCCGCTCATTCAGGGAGGCTGTCTGATTCTGTTGCCTACCAGCTGTGATGTTGCAGCCGTGCCTGGCCCAAAGCAGCCGCAGCCTCCCCTCAGATCACACAGGAATGGCTGATCCGGGGGCAGGGAACCATACACTAATTCCCAGCAAGGCATGGGAAGGCTGAGCCCATGCCCTGGGCTGCCCAGGAAAGAAGGGCAAAGGGGAGCCCCAAGCCCTCCAGCCCAGTATGCAGCTTCTCAGCACATCTCCCAAGGGTTTGAGTGGCAGTTACCTTCTTAACTGAATTTAGGTATGAATGAAAGTAGCCCTGAGCGAGTGTCTCCCAGGCAGTGCTGCCATTGCACCCAATTGCTGGCATGCCCCCCCTTCCTTTCCATCTTAGACCAGCTTAGCTCTGCTGGTGCGCCTCCGTGCCCCTGCTAGTCCCTGCCTGTCCCTTCACACCAGTTCAAACACCTCAGTCCAGACCCGACACACCTGCTGTTCCACCCACTCCTTCCTGTGCATCTCGACCCTGATCTGCAGCATCCCATTATTCCAATCCAGGGGCCACCCCCACCCCTGACCTATAGCATCTAATCCACTTCTAGTACTGATCTGTTTTCAGCCACAGAGCGTAATGTGCTTTACAGAAGAGGGCAGTAATATTATCCCCATTTTACAGATGGGGAAATGGAGGCACAGAGTGGGGAACTGGCTCACCTACAGTTACCCAGTAAAGCGGTGGCAGCACTAGGAATTGAATGCAGGTCTCCTGAGTTGTAGTTCAGTGCCCTATCCCCTAGGCCACACTACCTTCCCGCACTAAATTTTTCATTCAGATCCTGCAGCCCCCTCTGCTATGCCATAGCCATGATCTCCCATGCAGCAGCACCAGTGCACCACAATCCTGACCAGCAAACCCACTGTTCTCCCAATTGTGGGCTGCCACACCATGTAACTCCACTAGAGTCAAGGCTTGGATCCCACCCCTTAGTGTTGGATTTCAACCTTTACTCCTTTTGGCCTATTGGGATGCAGACTAAGTTGAGCCAATTTACAACATAGAGAGGGAACCCACTGCTCTAGTGAGCTACCTGCTCCACAGTCTGCTCTTACAGGGAATGGTAGTCGCTTGCCACATCAGCCTGCAGGGCCGTGTAGGTCTACAGGACTAGATCTCTCAGATATGGGCGGGGTGGGAGGAGGGGGAGTGAGGGACAAAGCAGTCAAAAATGCTCAGTAGAAGCTTCCAATGTACAGTTGGGAGTTGATGCAGGTCTGAAATTACCACAGCAGAGAAGAGTGAGCCAATGCACAAGCGTTAAAATAGAAACAATCATAGTCATGGGAAGGGCTAAAACCAGGTGATCTGTAGGGTGGCCAGGGTGGATGGAGGAGTGTTGGCTCAGACACCTGGATCAAGGGATGGGGAGAAGGCAGTGTTAAAGGGCTGGAACTACAAAAGACAGGGATCTTTGGACATTTTAAGGGGCTCTTAGACCCTCAGGAGCAGTAAAGCAACCTAGCTCTCTTGACTTCTGTGGAGCCACACTGATTTACACTGGCTCGGGATCCAAGCCAGTGCTTCTCTGTCATCTGTGTATTACTGCTTGCCTGTCTTGCCTCTTTAGGCTGTAAGTTCTTTGGGGACCATAGTTGGGTTTTGAAAGGCGCCTAAGAGTTAGGTGCCCAACTCCCCTTGGAAACTAGGCCCTGCCTTATGCAGGATGTCAGACTCATTAAGCATAATGGCCTTTGAGTCAATGAGAACCCCAGCCCAGATCTTCTTGTGTGTTTGCAAAGTGCCTAGAACAACAGGGTCCCACTCATGAGCAGGGCCTTTAGGCACGACCACACTAGAAATACGAAATAGCAACATTAATATATCACCGCAGTCCAAATTGTCTCCAGAGCAGATGGCACCAAAGAGACATGCAAGGTTCTTATTTCTGCACAAGGTGTCATAGCAATTCACCCGTTGTCCTTATGTCCTTGTCCTGTCCCCAGATGGCTACCCGCGAGAGGAGATTATCTACCGCTGGAGGCGTTACTCCATTGAAGTCTCAGACCAGCGCACCTGGAGACTTTATCAGTTTGACTTCACAGGCCTGAGGAACACATCAGAAGTTCTCAGGACAGGGGCTGGTAAGGCATCCTGGCCCGATAGAAACACTGCTGTGTTACAAGGGAGCTCTCCCCAGTTTCAGAGAGCATGTGCACAGAGTAGTAGAGGGCAGAGTGGTTAGGGGATTGGTGGGAAGCACCAGATAGGGAGGGTTACAGCAGAAAGCCGTAAAGCCCAAGATAGAGTCATTAAAAGAAGGGTCCAGCTACAGGCAACCTGTAGGGAGATATGCTCGCTAAAGCCCATGGAGAAGGGCAGCAGACCCAGCATGTAGCTAGGCACAGTATGGGGTAGGACAGAGGCACAAGATATCCACCCACAGCCTGAGGCTGGAGTAGAGCAGAGAAAGGACCTAGCTAGAGACAGCAAGGGGCAGGTAGGAAGGGGAATGGAGATAAAGAGTGTGGTTGGGGACAGCATGAGGGCCAGGCAGAATGGGAGTCAATGGCTGAGAAGTGGAGGAGTAAATGAGAAGTAGGGCCTTGTCTCAGGACAGTTCCTGAGGGTAAATGTCCTGGCTGAAACCATAGCTGTAGTATGCTGCTAGCCCATCTCCAGGACAGGACAGCTGATGGAACGTTATGCTGAAGTTGCTGTTAGTTGTGGCTGCAGCTGGGGGACATACTCAGTCTGAACTCAGGTTCCATCTAACGGCCACTCTGCCACGTTCTAGTTGTCCGGAATGCACGTGAGTTGTGTTGTATGATGGTAATGGAGCTAAGCAAACCCTTGGAGGTGAAGACAACAGTGGTGTCTAACAGCAGGAGTAAGTGGAAGGATGTCAGGACGCCTTGGTTTTACTCCCTGCCCTGCTATGAATTTGCTGTGTGACTTTGGGCAAGTCATTGAAGCCTTCTGGCCCACTGCATACCTCTCTGTAAACTGAGGGTGAGAATAGGTGTGAGGGTGAATAAACTAACATTTGCATTGTGCTATGAGAGCCTCCCTTGAAAGATGCTGCTGAAGTGCAAAGATTTGTAAATTAATGTCTCAGGAAGGACAACAGGACAGTGAAGAATGACAGGAGGGGAGTGAAAACTTGTAATTCCACACTGGCAAGCTCAGTAGCAACACATGCCTTTAGCTAGCAGAGCTGGGCCTGATACACGACAACCCATGTTCCCATGTGCTGCAGCCTCTCACTGCAGAAACCTGCATGAATGTAATGCCAATATCACCAGGGAATGGAGAATCTTCAGCCCCCAGCCCTTCCCCGTCATCAGTGGCTTTACTGATCTCATCAGAACCACCCCACCGCCAATCATCAGCTTCACTTAGCTCACCAGGGAACCTGAAATCCTCTGTCACCCCCACTCTCTAGCTCTACCATTCAGCTTCCGGAGTGTGATCTCTTTTATCGTCAACACTTGTCTCCATTGCCCTAGGAGCAGGAAGTTTCAGCACCACCGCTGGCTCCTCTCCGGGACTGAAGAAGGCTTGTATCTGGAGGGATCAGGGCAGTGGTTGAGACGCCAGAGAACACAACTACACATAGAAAAGGTCAAGTGAAGAGGGGTGCGTCTGTGACAGGCAAATATTAGCTGTGTGAAGAAAATGCTGCCACACTGGGACTTGTGGAGTAGGCAGCAGAGGGGGAGTAAGGTGAACTTGTAAATTAGGGGGCTTTCAGTGAGGGAGATGTGAATTGCACAGCTGTGCAGCAGAAGGTAGCAGCAGAGGCCTCGCATTCAGGAAAGCCCAGCTGAGCATCACCACTGAGGAGTGCCTGCCCTCCTGAAGAAGAGGGGAGATGTGATGTGATAGGGAGGGACTCAGCTGACTCCCCAGTATGCGTTGTGTTGGTAGCACATGGTTGCTGTAGGATTGCTGGCATGATGTGACGGGAGGGGAAGCCGGGAGAGGGACAGCATGGAGATCAAATCCCCCTGCCCTTGCGCCAGAAGAGGGCAGGGCCTTGCTGATGAAAGGAAAACAGCACTGCAAAGGGGAGCAGTGGGAGTGGGGCTGATCCACACAAGACAGCAAGCCCTCAGGCTTGGACCCTAAGAACTGAGGTGCAGCCGTATGGAGGAAACCCAGGTCTGTATACGCATGGGGAGTGAACACACCGGTTTGCTCTAGGAAGGAGCACTGGAAATGGAGCACTTCAAACTCCAGGATGGTAACAGCACCCATGGGAGCCAGGATTGAACAGCACATGGAAAGAAAATTGCCTTCTCCCATCAGGAGCAAAGGGTTTCTCCAGGATCAGCCCTTTGGGGAAGTAGGAGCGAAGAATCTGTCGCAGGGAAATACGGACAGGCACTGCCACATCTCTCATCCTTACAGATGTGAAACCTGCCTCCTGGCACTATAACTCTGCACCATGGCAAGGGAAACTGACCCATCAAAACAAACCGCTTTTCCCATCTCCTTTCCCAGTGGAAGCAGCTGGCTGGGGAACCATGTTAAACCATCAAAAAGCGCAGATTTATGCCAACACCTCTTGGTTTAAAAAGCTCAAATGCCAAAGTTAGCAGCTTGGCAGTGAGGGCAAAGGGATTAAAGCAGGCGAGAGGCTGAGAGGTAGAGACAGACAGACAAAGGCTGTAGCAGCCCATCCAATGAGAACAGAGCACTGGCCCCTCCAGGCAGGTGCTGCATGCACAGATCAGTCGGATCAGCTCCATGCCAGCTGCCAGCAGTGGGCCGTGCATATCCCACAATGGCACTGATAGACACGTGTAGGATGTATCTGAGAATTGCAGCGGACAGGCTGCTGGCTACAGAAATAGCAAGAAGGATGCTGGCCAACTAGTAAATTACATCAGACAGAGGAAACCAAGCCCTAAATTACATGGGTTGCACTCCCTTGCCAGGAAATGTTGTGAAGGCCAAAGGTATAACTGGGTTCAAAAAACAACTAGACAAGGCCATGGAGGATAGGGCCATCAGTGGCTATTAGTCAGGCTGGGCAGGGATGCAACCCCATACTCGGGGCAATGCGCTCACTGCCTGAAGCTGGGAGGGGACAATGGAGTGGATCTCTCTCTGTGCCCGCCCCTTGATGCTCTGGTACTGGACACTGTCAGAAACAGGCTACTGGGCTAGATGGGCCATTGGCTGACCCAGGATGGCAGTTCTTATGTTCTTAGCCACTTTCCTCCTCAGCTCAAATGCCCATCTTACTCCTCTCACCCCCAGAGCCCCTCTCTGCCCTGTGTTGGGAGGGAGTCGCTCTGCCCCTCTTGCTCCTCCTGGCCCTTACTGGAAGGGACTGGCTTTGCCCCTCTCACCCCGACAGCCTCTTCTCTCCCTCATTGGGAGGGGCTGGCTCTTCCCCTCACCCCCCAAAACCTCCTCTGCCCCACACAGAGACATGGGGCCAAAGCTCAGGAAGGAGAAGACATGGACTTGGCTGCTGGGCAGGCTGCCTGGGAGAAGCGGATTTTCAGGAGAGATTTGAAGGAGAAGAAAGTCTTCAGCGGCAGAGCTAGGAATCGGTGATCAGTGCGCTGATGGGTGGATCAGTATGTAAAGATGTCTGCAAATTAGTTGCTGCTTTATGGAGGGTGACAGAAGGGGCTAGTATCTGTCAGTAAGCAATATTGACTAAGGAGTAAAATGACGGGCTGACTGAGTTAGAAGCCATACTTCTAATGGCAAAGAGATGTTGAATGGATCCCACCTTTCCCATTGTCACTGCAGCCCTGCCTAGGTGTAGCTTCTCCTTGCTTCCTAGACTTCACTACAGTGAGTGCCTAGGGCTGTGTTTGGATGCACACGCGCACACAAGGGTGTAGTGTCAAAGCAAAGGAGGAGAGGCAAGTAAATGGAGGTGCAGGTGACAGTGCTGTGATCCTCTCGGCTTCTTTTGTGTTAAGGTAGAAATTTTGCATGTAGACATTCATAGCTGGCCATGGTGGTGAGAGAGTGAATTGTGCCTCAAATGACATCAATCAGCATCAGGCTTTGAGGGCCTGGCTCTTTCGTAAAGCAGTCAATGGCACCTTCAGGCCCTCTATTTGTTCATGTTCAAATGGTCAACTATGGAGGCAAGCCACAAACTTGCCACAGGAATTCGAAGGTCTCATGGGCCTCCACCCTCAATGTCATGTAGGAAGAAAAAGGCAATGAAGTTCTTCATGAAGGGGAGTTTGTGCCCCAAAGGGTAATGAGGAAACATGGCCCAGTGGTTAGGGTTCTAGCCTGTGACACAGGAAAAACTGGGTTCTACTCCCTGCTCTGCTACAGACTTTGTGCATGTCCTTCGGCAAGTCACTTTGTGCCTCCAGTTGCCCCATGTGGGGTAGTGTTTTTCTACCTCACCAGGGTGTTGTGTAGCTAAATACATTAAAGCTTGTCAGATAGTATGGTCCTGGGGACTAAGTATGATAGATAATAGGAATAAAAGGGTAATTAACCATCTCCACCTCCTACTATGCTGACTTGTCTGCTTCTTTGTGGCCTTCTCCTAGGGGACTATATGGTCATGACGGTTTCCTTTGATCTGAGCAGGCGGATGGGCTATTTTGCCATTCAGACCTATATCCCCTGCATCCTGACCGTAGTTTTGTCCTGGGTTTCCTTCTGGATCAAGAGAGACTCCACACCGGCCAGGACTTCTCTGGGTAAGGCAGACTGTACTGTACCTCCGGCGCTTGTTGTCTCAGCAGAGGTGTGTGCGGCTAGCTGGCAAGGGCCATTTTCCAAAATGTCTAAGTGACTCAGCAAGGCTAGTGAAAATTCGTGGGACTTAGACTGCTGGGCCATGTGCGTGCAGATCCTCAACAGTATTTAGGCACCTAAATTCCACAGATTTTAATGGGTGCCTAAGTACCTTTGAGGCTCTGGGACTTAGGTACTTTTGAAAATGTTACCCAGCATCCTAGATGCGAGGTCACCTCATTTGTAATGTTCTTGACACAGGCCCGAGAGCAAGAGAGAGCTGGGACTGCAGTTCTGTCTAGTGGAGAATCTGCAGCGCATCATGGGTCTCTGCACATTAGCCTGAAAAAAACCCTGGCACTTGTTCTCCTCCAAGCCAGTGACAATGACAGACACACACACAGAAGTGTTAGATCACTTTAGCAGGCTGTGCCTGTTGCACCACTCCGCCAGCCATGGCTCTCCTGCCACATGGGTGAGTTGTGTATCTAACAGCGACTTCCCAAGAGCACAGTGCTATCGGGGGGAAGATCTCTTTGGTGCACTTGGTAGAGCTACTACTTTTTATCCAGTGGGATGTCAGTCTGACAGTGGGCTCTGGTAAAGGTTTGAGGCTCAGATGCATGCAGGTGTGTGCACACAGGAGTGCAAGGCAAGCGGAAAGGTGAGGACCCTGCTCATTGTCTAGGTTTGCTCACCATCTCTGGGTGGCTCTTTAAGTGGGTATAAAGCATATTTTGACTCTTTGGTTAGGATCAAGAGTAATCTCCATTTATTGTCCCATGAGGTCTCCATTATATAGGGATGGTGTCCCTAGCCTCTGTGTGCCGAAAGCTGGAATGGGCGAGAGGGGATGGATCACTTGATGATAACCTGTCTGTTCATTCCCTCTGGGGCACCTGGCATTGGCCACTGTCAGAAGACAGGATACTGGGCTAGATGGACCTTTGGTCTGACCCAGCATGGCCGCTCTTATGTTCTTATATATGGGGAGGCAGGGGGTACCACTAGCAGGAGATAGAGTTTAGAGATCTAACAGGTCTTCACCACCTCTAGCTCTTCTGATCCCATTTCAAGGCTCTTAACTCTATTTGGATTCTGCAGTATGATGTGCATCTTGTATTTTCTTCCCCTCCCCACACTCATTTTCTTTCACCTGGATTGTTAATAACAGCATCAGGCCTGTGAGATCTCCTCTGACACTGGAGAGACCATCATCATTGGACAGGGCTAGTTGGATGCTCTCTCAATCTCTGCAATGCCACACCCCCGCCCCCATAAAAAGAAGCAGGGAGCGGGGTGGGGAGTTTAATGTTGGTTTTAATAGAGGTAGAGATCAGTTACATTCTAAGCATCCGAAGGAATAAATGGCAACAAACAGGGCATTTAGCAGGGCTGGGAAAAGCACTGTTGCAGTCAAATACGTTCCAAAGGCAGGTTTCCACAACTGGATTTACCCAGGAGGGGGCTCTCCCCATGGGATGCTGAGATTCAGGATGTCAAAAGTAATGTATTCTCTCTATAGCCCTGTTGTATTTGATAAAAATAATCCCAAATGTATTTAAAGCCAGAGTCAGCCTACATTAGAGAGCCTACATTACTTTCAGTGGTATTTGAAAAATCTGCTAAATCATATCCCAGATGCTAATGCAAACACAATAGGAAAATATATTAGGTTAAAATCTACCCCCACTTATATCTTGTGCAACCTTCAGCAGGGTGGAAGGGATAGAAGGAAGGATAACTGGAGAAGCAGGAATTATGCAGACTGCCTGCTCCAGAACCCTCTGTACTGTGCAGCACTCTAGCTGAGTTCACACTATTGACCACAGGAGCTATCGTCAGAGACGGCAACCTCCACATTTGCTCCCTGTGAATAGGTTACAGGATCCCACGTATGAAATATTTAAGCATTTGATCTAACCCCCATTAAAGTAAAGGGAAAGACATCCATTGACTCACTAGGCTTGGGATTGGGCTCTAACTGCACAGGCCAAATTCATCGTGGGTGTCAATTCATTGATGTGAATGGAGTTACAGAAGTTCGGCCCTTGGTGAACCATAGCTTAACTTGCTACTACTAGAAATTCACCATTGTTTTCTCCAGGAATTTTACACTCATCACAGGCTTAGACAAGAATCTCACTATTGGTCCTCCACTGTCCAGAGCCTGTAATTTACTAGCCCAGACCCATTTTGGGCACTAAGGCGTAACCCATCAGCTAGAAAAATTTCATTGCTACATGTTAGGCACATATCATGGATGTAGATGCTGGAAGTGGTGCGGCTTTTCTGTATCACAAAATGTTTAAATGTTATCAGGTATCTAATCCAAAGAAATCAAACTCACAAAAAGGGCCATAACTCTCAAAAACAGCCTAATTTTGGCCAAAATTGGCAGAAACCTTCTAAATACAATTCATAATGTAATTATATACTCAAAGTAGTACTGTTTGGGGAAATATTTAGCCCACATGATATATTTTATGCATTTTGCTGTACTACTTTGCCTTCAGTTAAAGCAAAAATCTGTAATCACATGATAGTCTGAACTTGTTTGTACCATGTAATACATCAAAACATTTGTCATCATTTGTAGAATGGACTAAGTTAAGAGTTTTTCTGTCTGCTATTTTTATGAAGTTATGCAAATAATAAGACCCCCTACCCCCTAATTACAAAACATATTTTTGATGTTATCTGCTTGGCTGGAGACGTAAGTCTAAAGCAACTTAGTACAACTGTAATTATCTTCTTACCATCACTGAATACAATGACAATCTATGTAAACTACTTATATAACAGTAATGATTCTTAGAAGAACGTCTGTAGACTGTCTTGTATGAATATATCATGTGAATAACGAAGTATAATCATGTACTCTTATGTAACCTCTCCATATAACTATAAACTACTGAATGTCTAATCAACACCCCTTTGAGCTATATTTACTCATAAAATAGTCACAGTAATTTGGAGATAGTTGAAACACTTCTATTCTCCCCTCAGAACCTTTCTGATGTGTTTGATACTCTGTTGCTACACTCATCACTGTCACAGCTGCATGCATCGCATAACACCATATCTTCCCTGTGGCATTTGCATCTCCTTGTTGCACAGATACTCTCACAGCTATAATGCACAAAGGTAAGAATGGCTTCTGGAGCAGGTGGGAGCACCATCATTTTAGGAACAAGATGTCCCATGTTATCACCCATCTGTTGTTGACAGGGACGTTTGAAGATTCTGAACTGCTGCATGATTCCATATTGTAGGGCTGATAGTTTGCACATTTCAGATGCTGCCTGAAGGAGGCCATTGTTGGAGGCAGTTTCTCCCTTGTTTTGTTCTTCTTAGCAAACAACATGTAGCACATATTATCCAGAGATGTACTCTGGTAAAAAACAAGCAAGATACCAGTGAGACATAGGCTGCTGACCCTGGAAAAGCTGCAGTTGGGTTGGACTACAGTTACCTACCTTCAAATCTCTCTAGTGATACTAAGCAAGGACTACTTAATTCAGCGACTACTGTGTTCTTCATTAACTGCCTGGTTAGGTCAGTGCTGTCCATGCCATGAATTCAAAGGCATGGTCCTACTTTGTAAAGCCATCAACAGGCGGAGACATAGCTACCTTCTACATTGATGTATCATCTTTCACATGTGATCATGTCTGAGTGTTTCTGCTCTTTGTTCTCAAAAGTGCTTACACTGTAGGTAATGGGAGCAGGCTTATAAATGACAGCATGCAGTTAGGTTACTGACACACCACCGCTGATATTTCACGCTTGTTCTTGGGATGGGAAAGAAAGATTTTTGCACAAAGCTGGGGAGGAAATTAGCAGTATTCACATAGAACACATCTCACTAGCCTTCCCCTGAGCTGACCAACACACAGCTCCAAAAGCCAATCATACAAACTCTATTACATTTTCACTTTGGTTCTACAAAGTGATGCTGCTGTGAGCAAAACCTGGAATGCCAACAGGCGCAAGAGAAACCAGAAGGCTGCGGTAGCATTTCTGTTCAAAAGTAAACTTTCAAAGTGCTCTAAAGTTCATAGACTAGTCACATTGGCATAGAAATTTGCTAGGAGAAGGCCTTGGGTACCATTTGTGGTCATGGTCATGAGGTTCCTGAGATTCAGCACCCTTCCTTTTCCAGCAAATGAGCTGGGTTTAATTTTAAAATGTTCTAAAATGCAAATGCGGATCCAGACTGGCTTGAGAGCAGGCATGCCAGATGAGGACCCAGAATAACATCTGGGGTACAATTTTAGGGATCTTGGATGTCTAGAGCCTCCCCTTACCTCTGACCTGTTTTTACAATGGGGCAAACTACCCAGGGCATGCCAGCAGAGTTTTAGGTGGCAGTACAGACCTTGCTGATGCAGCTGGCATGCAATGCTGAGCTGGGGAGTGAACTGAGAATGAGTGTGCTCAGTACATGCCACAGGCCCACAACACCGAAGTCAGAGGAATCTAAGAATGTTCAGTCCACACTATAGGCACACAAAGCCAGATCCACAAAGGGACCTGGGCACCTAAATCCCATTTTAGGCACCTCTGTGAGCCACAAAATCCCCCCTCAGCTGCTACCCAACGCTGTAGGTTCCTAACTCACTTGGCACCTAAGTTTTTGCTCTAAAAGTTCCCTTGGTGCCTCTGAGCACATGTACCTCTACCTCAGTCCAGGCACTAGAGGCCTAATCTCATGCTGAAGTACAAGCACAACTCCCCAACCAGGGCAAATGGGCATTGCCCTGCCTCACTTCCTTGTGGGTCTGGATCTGGTTGGTAGGCATGCTCCAAGCTGCCTAACTCCACACAAGGCAGCTGGGGAAGCAGACACCCTCCCCAAACCCAAAGCTCTAGGTAACTTTACTCTCCGCAAGGCGGTATCAGGACAGACCAAGGGAGATGCAGTGCTTCTGCCTGCTATATGGCTGACAAAAACAAATCA